GAATGCACTATCGCAATCAGAGAAGTACATGATAACCGTGTTTAAAAATCCCGTACCACCGCCACTGCGACGTAATCTACGCTCATGGTGGCTCAGCCCAAGAGTTCGTGTGTAGCAGTAATGTACAGACCTGCATTCCAAGGACATCTGGTTCGAGTCGCGGCCTCTTCTGTAACAGGGCCACGAGATATTCTTCCAAATTCTTGCCCCCGCCCTACCAATCAGCATTTCTTTATTTTAATTTGGCGCTATGTAGAAGGGTAAAGTAAAGTTGTCCCACAGTAAACTGTCCCTGTCGGAACTGAATGCGAGATAAAAAAAAATCATGTATACAGAATGTTTCACGACTTTAGGGCATAACTGCAGGAGGTGATTTCCTAGGTCTTTGTGATCAAAAAGTTCATATAAACATGTGTCCGATTTTGGACGGTTACGGAGTTATGACGGTTTTTTCATTCCAGTACACGCCCTCGTGTGAACCACGTCTGTCGGCTGGCGGATCGCTATCTTTAGCCAGCTACAGACAGAGCGTTCTCGTTATCTCGACACTTGAGATGTACCTAAGGCGGGGTGGGTTGATATGTCCGGCGCGGTTCACAACCGAGCGGCAGCCTGTGTTGCGGCCGGCGGTGGCATTTTCGAAAATCAGCTTGAAGCACCAATAAATTCAAATTAAAGGTAATTTCACGAAGTTAACTTTACATTCATACTTTAAATGTATCATGTATTATGCTGGTTTATTATTTTGTTCCGTTTATTGTCAGTAATCGTTACCTTCTATTCTGAGTTTAAAACGGCCATAACTCCGTAACCGTCCAAAATCGGACACATGTTTATATGAACTTTTTTGATCACAAAGACCTAGGAAATCACCTCCTGCAGCTATGCCCTAAAGTCGTGAAACATCCTGCATAAAAAACGGCGTAGGCAATGCCCATCCGGCCTTATAAACATCTTGTTCTATCAGAGCGGTCACCCCGCGATTTTCGAACATCTCCCTTAACTTAACTCTAAGAATATACTGTCATGTGTATCAGTGACGGGGTGCGGCTTGGTAATTGAATTTGTTGACCTCTTACATGTCGTAACTAGAATTAATTATAACACTTCCAAGATTACTGTAATTATAACACATAACTAAAGTTTTCTATATCTGCTTACACTAGTCGTGCTAGGTAACAGATCTAAACAGTGGCTATTTCTCTGCAAAATTTTCCCTCTCCGTTTCCTGGCAACGGATTTTAACATAGGAACTATAACTGTCACACTCCAGATATCACTGCACTACAGCACACATGAAGTCTTCAGTTCACACGTTAAGTCCTCACAGGCAACTTCTAATTCTTCTTCTGCTGCGAAATTCCCGTGGCGATCTCCTACAGAAAACTGACTGACTCGTAGTTCCGATTGTCTTCAAGATAACTCACTTGCACGGACCCCACGGAAACACCGTCTTCTTTTGTTAAGGATACGTGTTTGCAGCTTCAGAAAACAGTTTCCTCTGTATTGCTGTCACGTTCTTTAGGGGAGAGCGTTTACTGGTCGTCGCATAGAAACGGCAGTTCTTCTATTGGTGCCTGTATTCGTTGCCGTGAGAATGTTTACAGACATTCCTCTGCTGTTATATGAACGGCCCATATGTCGCAATACTATTGATATTTTGTTCATATATTCATTTTTCCCTTAAATAAATTAGGGAATTTTGTTTATGGAGTTTTTGTATGTCGTTTTTTCCATTATGTGTTTATGGTGCGGTTTGCGTTTTTTTTTGTGAATTCGAAATGTTTTTTATTGTAAAAAAATTGTAAATACAAAAAGAGGCGTAGGCAATGCCCATTCTGCCTTCGGTAGCACATTCTTATAAATATCTCATTCTATAATAGCGGTCACCCCGCGATTCTTAATATAGATCTTAACGATTTCGAGATCGGCGAACAGCGACTGGTGCTGTCTTCTGTTGTCGATTCCAGTGACACGCAACTCGTACAAGTTCCATGTTCCATATACGTACTTGGGTTAAACGTTCCTTGTTCTCTTGAGCTCACTGTGATGTCATAAGTCAGTGAATGTCAGCCCATCATGTCAGCCATTCATTCTTTGTAGCCTGACGATCGTCTTGATAATATTTAAAAACATTCCAGTTTCTACATTCTTCTGCAGCGAAGTTTAGGCCTCCGGGCCTGTCCCCAGTTTCAGGTCAGAGGAATTGATCGTTCCATCTCTTTGGTGACCGACGTCTCTCTTTCTTTTACGATAACTGTTTCTGAGAAGTTCGCTTTTTAGCATTCTTAAAATATTCTAAAAAATTCTGTTGGATTCAGTTTATAGTTGCGACTTGAATACAAAGACCAGCCGGTTAAGGCCGGTTAGGGAAATTATCTCTGTTTGTTCTGAGAACCATACGGAACACGCACTGAGTATGAATATTAAAGTAAGTGATATGTATAGTTACGGTTGTGTTTTAAAGGATTAACGGAATTCCAGTTGCCTGAAGGACTAGCCAGTCAGCCAACAAAATCTGGGAAGTCAGACGGCGGTGGGGGCCATTTTATAAAGAATTATTATCATGTAGGAGCGGTGAGATGTCGGCCATTGTGCAGTTTCGGAAATTCTGTAGAAGCCACCGCCCAAGTTTCTGTTTTAGATTTTAAGCACAAAGCTTCTGGCCAGGACATCAACTAATTTCGTGGTTTTACCAAGTCCTCTCGGGCGAATTCCAGGGTAATACCTAGAAGTATGCCATGACTGCTTTCTTCCATATCCTTTTCAACTCATTCTACCATTCGACACTATGTAGTCCGAGCTAATGAAGTCACAAACAAGTATATACGTACCTCCAGTGCTGAGGTCAGTCCAGTGATGTGTGCAAGTCTGGACGTGGTGGCTCGTACAGATCGTATTCCGGATGTATACAGGTTCAGTGTTCACTGGACTGTCCATCATACTGTGATAATTAAACCAGAGCTGAGGCCAGTCCAGTGATGTGTCCAAGTCTGGACGTGGTGGCTCGTACAAATCGTATTCCGGATGTATACAGGTTCAGTGTTCACTGGACTGTCCATCATACTGTGATAATTAAACCAGAGCTGAGGCCAGTCCAGTGATGTGTCCAAGTCTGGACGTGGTGGCTCGTATAGATCGTATTCCGGATGTATACAGGTTCAGTGTTCACTGTACCGTTCATCATACTGTGATAATTAAACCAGAATTAATGGACCATGAGGTAGGCGTGTAAGCAGCTCTCACTTGTGTATTCTTCTGCAGCAAGACCCATTTTACTGTTTGTCATTACGTTGTGGGCGTCCTCCGTTCATCCCCGCAATTCAGGCCTTGTATTCCTATCAAGTCTAACTCGACAGTAGGTGCAAGAAGGAGGAAGACGCAGGTGAAATCAGGCCTGTAGTGACAACATAAGCGAACATTCCGGCGAGACTCGGGGCGCACTCCATGGAAAACACCGTCTTCCATTGTTAAAGAGCGTGTTTAAAGCTCCGTTGCCGAGCAATAGACATCCTATTATTGCGTGCGCGTGTGTTGCGGGAATGTGTTTACCGACCTGTTGCCTAGCAATGAGTATACACATAACAATATTGTGCATTTTACGTTCTCACGGGGGTAGTTTCGGAAGATCATACGTCCCCGAAGAGTAAACGAACAAAGAAATCAGCAGAAGCAGGCGTCAAGCAGAGTGTCTGGTTTCTTGCTTGGTTCATTTTTTTACTCTAAACATGAAGGAAATATGCCCTTCCGAAACGTCTGGCTCTTTCATAACTACGTGGCGTTACAATCCAAAAGAATGTCCTCTTCAGGAATAAAAGAATTATAAGTAGGTCGTTGAAAAGATGAGGTTTCAGATGTAATGTTGGGCTATTATCGACATACGTGTATATTGAATAGAATAACAAGTTAGCAGCAGTCATGTAGATGCACACTTGTTAACAGAACATGAACACAGCAAGTTTTCTAGACAAAACGGCCATGCCAGAATCAGCGCTCACCAAGTAATGTCTCTGTATATAGTTTAATGGAAGTGTTGGAAAACCGGCGGGAACTGACCAAAGCAAAGATAACAATACAGTAAACCCTCGCTAATCGGGTTTAATTGTGGGGGGAGTTCATCCGGATTAAGCGATAATCCGGATTATTGAAAGAAATTGTAGCCCTAAAAGACAAAACTTAAAACTCAAATAAATGAAAAATTTAATGATATAAATAGTACTGATGAAAATAAATAAAAAATTCATTGCTATGAGACCTTTATTTAAGAAGACGATACATTTATTCATCGATAGAAGACTCAGAAGTTGTACTTGTTTTTGGACATAATAATGCAACTTTGAAGGAACTGTCAATTTTTTTTCTGAAGAGACAAGTGACTCATCTGCCTTCTTATATGACATGTCTTTTAAAGTATGTACACACCTGTGAGCAGGAGCTGGGATAGCTCAGTCGGTATAGCGACTGGCTACGGGCTGGATGACCGAGGGGACGGAGGTCAAGAATTCTCTCCTCCACGTCGTCCAGCCCGGCTCTGAGGCCAATCCAGCCTCGTATCCAGTGAGTACCTGGGTCTCTTTTCCTGGGATAAAGCTGCCGGGGCGTGAAGCTGACCACTCACTTCCAAATGGTGCCGAGGTCAATAAACTGTGAAACTACACATCCACTCCCCAATATGACATCATGGTGTAATGCTTAATTAGTTAAGCACTGAGACAGCTTAACCTTACCTTTTACTCAGCTGTGAATAGCATTTTTCATTTTTCACATTTCGATCCGGATTATCGGAAGTCCGGTTTGCCTGTAACCGGAATAGCGGGGGTTTACTGTATTAGGACTTGTCTCGTCGGACAATAGAACTTATGAGCCCTTTGAGAAAGCATTTTGAGGTGTCTGCATTAGATCAGCTGAACAGGAAATCTGTGTGTGTCGGTCACGTGACGGAAGTCTGCGGTTGTGGAGAGCATGTCAACCTGCATCAATGTTGGCGTCGATTGTTGCAGGCAGTAGCATGGCGGAACTAGAACCTGACAGCAGCGCCGTCTCTGACGTCGGCGAGGGGTGTGACACCGACGGCGAGTTTGAAATGACCCACGAAGACTCAGAGAGGTCGGACAAGGAGAACCAAACAGTTCGCAGTAAGCACAAATTTGAATTCAGTGTGTGTCATTTGCCACTGTGCGCCAGAGAAGGATGAAATGAGAGCCGGGGGGGGGGGNAATTAAAGGCATCTGCACTTGCCAACGTCACCGAGAGTTCCGTACAGTCATTTGAACGATTATATTCCGAACCTAAATTCTTCCGAGGTTCTCTCAGATCGACTATGGCATAGTGTGGGCGATGGATGGTGTTACTGCCCCCTTCCCTTCTTTGTACTTATATGCCGGCACCGGTAGATCACTTAACTCTTCTCAGGTTCGTTTCACGGCAATAACTGAGGTTACCGGTACCTGCACCCTTGAAGCCAGTCCACTGTCCACAAACTGTTTATTTGTCCGAAAGTGAAACTTTGCAACTTCCTGCTCAAACAAAGAGTGATATAGCCCTTGAATATTATCAAAATGTAACGTTCCAAAATGAAGGGCTAATTATTTCAGACTGACACGAGGACTGCAGCCCAATCGCGTCTGATTGCGATTAATTTAAGACGCCAAGACCCCCAAGACAAGTATATTGCCGTAGGTTCGCTTCATCCTCAAAGATCTGAATTCACGACGTCTCTCCCAGACAAGAGTTCGTCTCCAATTGGCTGATTTTTACTATCCAAAGTCATCATGCAATCAGCATTAGCCAATCACGCAACGAATTTTGAGAATAAAGCAGTTCCCAGGAAATAGAACCCGGAACCCCACATGTGAAAGCGGTTACATTCTTCAGTTTAGGGTTCAGCTACACCCTTCCGAAGATAAATTGTTACAGCTACGCATGTCAAGAAAGTAAATTCATCTCGTCAGAAGAGTAGAGACTTGCCTTCCATGGTNGTGCCAAATCCCAGAAGACTGCTTTCTTCATAGTCACCGCCGTGAAAGCCTTAATTCTTACAAGCTGTAACTCGCCAATAAACCAGTCACCATTCGGAAATGACAGCGTCCGCGGAGAACTGTAACAGATTTCGACTGTCGCATTGGTACAGTGCTGTCGTTTGGAGCAGGGCTGTTAATGCCTCATGGAATAAAGAAAAGAACATCGCTGCTGAGTAGTGCTAGCAGCATCTTAGCTAAGAGTAAACTGGCCATGTGAAGACTATGGTGACGTAGTGGGCATTGTTCAGTTTTTGTGTTTTGCTTCACGTCAGATCTCCCAAAGCATTCCGGAAGACCATTGGAAACTAGAATGGTTAGTTACATTTTACGCATCGAAATCTGTCTCATCTTGCAGCGAAATTTAATACAAAATTAACAGTTAGGTTTAGCACACTATCCAATTCGTACCGTGGACGCTCTCCCAGGGGATAAGGTGGCCGGGTCGTGAAGCTGACCACTTACCTGTATCTGGTACTGAGGTCAAGAATGTTGGAGCTATACTTCCACTTCCCCATACGTTTTCATGGCATGATGCTTAATAAATTAAACACGGGGACACTTTACCTTTTATTTTACAATAAAGTTTATTATGTTCACACACTGTCGTTGATACGTTACTTCTTGTATACTTCTAAAACTTATCATTTGTGAAGTATAATGATTGGGTTATTTCTTGGCATTACAGAATAAGGAACGTTAATACGAAAGAGAGTCAGTAACTAGGTCACAAATGGAAATAAAACAGGTGCAATGGGCGTAATAGGGTTGCTATATGCATCACTAGGTAGCAGCACAGTCGAGCTCCATGACAGTCTAGGTAGCAGACGCGCATGCGCATTTTCAGAGGCTGGTTTTAATAGTCAAAATGGCTACCATTCTTGAGGAGTATGCTGCTGAAGAGCGGCGTTCTGTTGTGTGTTGTCCTGCGGACAAAAGAACTCGATGCAAATGATATTAATAAAGAAATCTTTCCTGTTTACTTTGGGAAGTGTTTGCCGCGTAAAACGGTTAACAACTGGGTCGAGGAATTCTGTCAAGGACGTTCAGAATTCGCAGATAATGCCCGACCAGTGCGGAATTGGCTTAAACAGTCAAAAGATTTCTATGCTGCGGGCTTCAACGCATTAGTAAAGCGATGAGACAAGTGTATCGGTGTTGGTGGAGGATATGTCAGAAATAAATGTTGATTTTCCAGGGTCGAATATCACATGTTTTACGTTTTATATCCATTTGTGGCCTATTTACTGATTATCCCTCGTACGTCCCAGAGACAGCTTCTGTCTCCATCTTGAAGTAAAACACAGAAAGGATACCTACACTGAGGGACCACTTGATGAGGACTATTCTTATCAGTAATTTAAGGCACAGGACTAAAGTCATATGAACATGTGTCAAATACACAAATTTTAAGAAATAAATGTCGACTTTTGAGTTTTTTAGTTTCATATAACCTGATAACAGTAAATTACGATCTTAAGTAACGATAATGTCTTGCATTTATCCTGTTTCCGACAGATGAGACGCCCGAACCACATGCAGTGGTGCCATCTGCAGAGACCACCGCCACTCAAGTGCTGGCCCATAACGTGACGCCCGAACCACATGCAGTGCTGCCATCTGCAGATACCACCGCCACTCAAGTGCTGGCCCATAACGTGACGCCCGAACCACATGCAGTGCTGCCATCTGCAGATACCACCGCCACTCAAGTGCTGGCCCATAACATGACCCCTGAACCTCATGCAGTGCTGCCATCTGCAGATACCACCGCCACTCAAGTGCTGGCCCATAACATGACCCCTGAACCTCATGCAGTGCTGCCATCTGCAGATACCACCGCCACTCAAGTGCTGGCCCATAACGTGCTGCAGTTGGGCAGCATACCACTGCCAGCCGCCGTTGGCGCCACGTGAGTTACAACAATGAACTATAAAGTAATTACAACTAGGGTTCCCAGATACCCCGTTTTCCCCGGATTCTTCCGTGTTTTCACCCAAATTTTGTTCCTCCATTTATTGTTTACCCGGAGTGGATAATTTAAGTCCATTGCGAATTATATTTCATGGGTTAAATATTATCATAAAATTTCTGTAATCCTTGGAAATGACATTGTTATAGTTTCTTTCGTTATGTTGCATTTCGTGAATGTTGGCAACACTTGAGGTTCTAAACCAAATTAGAGGTTGTTGGTGATAGTGTATTTTTAATCCGTTCAATCTTCGCTAGAAAGTCAGTGTCAAGTTAGCAAAAATGTTTGAGGGCTAGGTAATATTTTGTGCATTCTATAAATATGTAATAGGGCTACGTAATATTTGTTTTGTTCTATAAATGTGTAGTAGGTCTATGTAATACAGATGTGTAGTAGCATTTTATGTTGATTATGTATATTTTATAGCCTATTAGTCGTGAAAAATGTTATAAACAAGCAACGAGACATCACTCTTTTTTTTATTTTACAAAATCTGGCAACCCTAATTACAACTGATCTGTGTAGTCTAAGCTTAACGATCTGTTTATTTCACATTTGTTTGCCGCAACCTTGATCACTCTAAATGCCAATATACAAGTATCAGATCGGCCAAAGCCACGATCTCACATTGTGTGTAAATACAATACAAGGAACAAAATCAGCCATCGGAAGTTAATAGTCGCTAGGCCAGCCAAAAATTGCTCTTCTTTTGTGGAATCCCCAAATTCATTACTGTGTTCCGAGATTCAGTACATGGCCCCTATCTTGAGCCAATTAAATCTAATCCATTTTCTCACATCCTATTCGTTTAACATTTTTAATAGCTTTCTCACATCTAAGATAGATCTCCCAAATTCTCTGTTTTGTTTGGGTAAATTCTCTGTTTTGTTTGGGTATTCCTGCAAAAAATGTTGTATGCATTTCTCATTTCTCGCCTGTTACATGTTTCGGACATAATAATAGGGACACAGCGCACAGAATGAAGAGTGACTCATTTTCCATAACTTTTAAACGATATTTGAACATTTTAATGTATAGGGCTTACTGCGGAAATGTTTGTATTCCATATTGTGTAACGATTGGCTGGTGGATAATGACAATTTTGTATATAGTGTACATCATCTTAATTATGAAGATGCCATCAATTGCATACAAAAAAGAACCTTTTGCGATATTAGACATTTTATAATCAACTGTTTCTATTATCATCTACGGATATTAAGTCCACTTCAGTCAACTGTCTTTTACTTCAGGCTATAAAGTGGCTGTCTACACAACAGCTTATTTATAAATTTAATAAAATAAAATACAAATTAATGCTTCTATTCATTTTTATTTTATTTTACGAACTTTAATAACAGTTGTGTGGATGGTCTCCTAGACCGTAATTCCATAACACAGGATGCAAAAAATAAACTTAAACATATTCTGCTTCTTGTCGCCAATTCTCGGTCCTGCATTTCCCGTTCCGAAGCAAACCACGCTGTTGGCTCTCCCATCTGTCTCCATGTCTTCCCAATCCGCTCAGGTCTCGGTGTCCATATTCCATTGTTGCTCTGGGCGATCTCCTTGCACCTTTCACGTCTGGGGGGGGGGGAAGCTATCCCTGTAGCAGGCCGTGAAGGCCCATAGGGTTGTGAGACGTTGAGGCTCCCACATTATCTAGACAGTCGGCTCAAAGATGGCGGTAAGGTTGTCAGCCTTACGCTCAGGCCGCACTTTACTCCCCAGGAAAACTATTTAATTCCTGGTACTCATTTCTGTTAGAGGCTGAGTCGACCCCAGGGCCATAGTGCGGCTGGAAGGATTAGGTCAATAGAAAAAAATCCAGTGACCTCATCGGGACTTGAACCCGCGACCTTCCGGCTTGTATGATAGCATAGCCCCTCAACCAACAACGCTACCGCGTACCCCCTTCACGTTTGGGACCTTTTCCAAATTTCGTGGCTCGTACCCTCTTCCCCAAGTTGCTGTCGAAAGTTTTTTTGTCGCAAGAGTCTCATTCGTTCATCCTCAGTATGTCGTTGCCACACAGTGTTTTCGCTGCACTGACCACAACACGAAACGAAATCCTGCACTATTTATTCTCCGAACGCCCTTGTTAATATTCCGTTTCTTCTGCTATGTGAAAACTCTTCCTTTCTTGTGTCTACAGTTGCATCTCCAAGGTAATCGAAAGTTAACCTACTCGGTTATTTCAATTTCAGTTGCTTATCTATCTATCTATCTATCTATCTATCTATCTATCTATCTATCTATCTATCTATCTATCTATCTATCTATCTATCTATCTATCTATCTATCTATCTGTCTGTCTGTCTGTCTGTCTGCTTGTCTGTTCGCCCTTCCCTCCGTCTATCTATCTATCTATCTGCCCGTAGCTCGGCCGTCCGCCCACCCACCTACCCTGTGGTTATTCGCTCAGTTACTCGAGAATTTCTTACGACTTTACGGAAGCCGACGGTTGATTACAATGTTCAAAATAGCGGTCCACTGGCCTCTACCTTCAGCCAGACAAATCCAGTCTATACCACTCCAACCCATTTCTCTGATATCCATTTTAGTATTATCCTCCCATCTACATCTAGGTCGTCCTAGTGGTCGCTTTCCTTCTGACTTTCCCACAAAAATCCTAAACGCGTTTATTTTCTCCCGATGAGTGGTACATGAGAACGACTGCGCTGGCGAGGACCAGCAGCAATTGCAAACGACAGACTGATCCTTTCATGACAGAGGATGTGTACATAAGGGCTATGAAAGTAAGCTTTCAGTTGAAGGGAATACTGGTAATGAGTCTGAAGGGGCTTGTCGCCAAGACGAACCGAGTGGCGGTAAACAGCCAGTCGTAAGGTATCTCTGACTCTGACACTGACTCTGACTCTGACAGGAGCTGTCCAGTGCTTGAGGTTAGCACTTTTAAGGGGGTCTAACAGAGTAGGTACCTCGTCTCTCAACTGAGGACGGAAACAGACGCAGTTTCCGAAACTTCGTGATTTCTAGTTTTTATAATACCGGACTATGGACAAAGTACCTCTGACTTTCAGAGCCCTTCAGACTTTCCTTTTGAGCTACATTCTGCAGTACTGGCCCGGCTCTCCTGACGGGCTTCTGATGGCGTTTTTGCTCCTTTCAAAGGAGCCGGCATAGTGTACTGGGTATAGCGACTGGCTACGGGCTGGAGGACCGAGGGTTCGGAGTTCGAGCCCTGGTAGGTTCAGAGCCAGACCGGCTCTGGGGCCCACCCATCTTCCTATGCAGTGGGTTCGGAGGGTAAAGCAGCCGGGGCTTGAAGCTGATCACTCACTTCCAACTAGAGCCGAAGTCAAGAAAATGTGGATCTATACATCTACTCCCCCATATGCCTTCATGACCTAGTGATTAATTATTTAAGCACAAGGAAAACTTTACTTTACTTAGTCCTTCCTGACAAATTCCAACAGTTTGCATTCAGGTGAGCCATAAGCATTTCCCTTCATCCAAATCCACTCGTACCGATCTTCCACGACCATCCGGCCACGTCATTTGATCCTGTGTAACCTATGTAATAACAACTGACTGAAGCAGACGTTCTTGTGCGCGCAGCCGTGAAGTCTGCAAGGTGGTCCATAAATTCCTGATTTCGGCATTTAACGTAGGAGAGTCAGGCGTCTTACGCTCTGGTTGCTTTATCCAAGGTAGATAGCGCTTGATTTGGTTAGCTGAGTGAGCCCAAAAGCCTCTCTTGGCGCTATGACAAAAAGAAAATTGTCTGCCCCTGCTTGAAATTGAACATCGATCTCTTAGCTAGTAGCCTATCATTTTGCTGACCGACCGAACTCTCCTGTATATGCATATTGTCCAGTGATAGAATGGCTATAGACGGGGATTTAGGTTGAATATTGGATTTATTGACGGCTTTAACACACACCTCGTAATTCCACCTAATTATAGCATCGTCGCTAATTTACACACAATTAACAAATCATTAGCGCACACGATAAGTCCTTTACAGTCTGCGCTGTCTTCACTAGACGTTTCCTGGTAACGGCTTCTAACAGCGGCTATTCCTCTGTTTCCGTGCGCAAGTCCCGTCTTTTTGGCGCTCCATTCAAACTGCCTTACTTACAGTTGACTCGATGCCGTTTGCTTAGAAACGAAAGTTGGTTCAGTGCCGTTCGCTAGCAACGGCTGTTTCTCTGGCTCCAAAGTTCTTGCTTTGAGCAAATACGCCACGGTATATATGAGTATATACAAAAAAACCAACTCCGGGGTTATAGTCCGCAAGCGAACTATACCGACAGAGCGACCGCCGCTTGTCAGCGAAGTTAGTGCCAACATTAGCGGATAGAGGTGTTGCATGGCCAGAGCAACGAATCCCCATGACCGTTAATTTCTGTTTTCTAGACCGGAGCCGCTATTTCCTTGAAATAGCTCCTCACTTATCCTCAAGAGGCTGAGTGGACCCCGTACCAGACCCACTGTTTCTCATAAAATCTGGTAGCGCCGGGAATCGAACCCAGGACCTCTGGATCTGTATCCAGGAACTCTGACCACTAGACCACAGAGGCGGTCAACTTTGGACATAGGTGTTTTGGGTTATATCGGCATATTTTAACATAAGGAAAACCCTCCCGAAGTNTTATAAGAGTCATCTTGAACCGTTACACCTCTTAATACATAACTAAGTAGTAAATATCCATTAAGTACAAGTAGCTTAAAGCAGTATTTCTTAAGTAATTTAACGACGCTCTCAGCATAAAGGCTGCTCAGCGTCGATGGCAGGATGATCAATGAATATGGAGCAGTTGGTGGAATGAGAATTGGCAGGGGAAACCGAAGTACTCGGAAAGAGCAAGCCTCCATCACGAACTGCCATCGAACCAGGGCCGCCGTGATGGGAAGCCTGCCTGCTGGAAAGCGCTACGGCTGCGGCTCCAGTACGAGAGCGCGCACTGCTCACA